TTCATTTCTCCCTGTACTCTCAAGGTTGGCTTCTCCAGTGTTCTCCATCTTAGTAACGCAGCACCATCTGTCCTATCACTTATACTAAAACCTAGTTGTCCACTTGACATCTCATTCTTTTCATCCACCAGACACTATCACCAAGTGCTGCCAACCTTCATCTGTTAAACACATCTCATATCCGTCTACCTTCTCACATCTATTTCCCCATTCTATCACATCTCATCTCAGGCCCAGAACTTCAACTAGTTCTGGGTTCAGTTCAATGCAGTATTCCCCCTGCATTCATTCCTGTCCTTCCCAGAGGTAAGTTTTAGTGAAGACTGGTGTGCATGTTCTTATACTTTAAATACCTTGTACATTTATCTCATAAAGTCTTTTGTATAGGTGTATAAAAAGTGTCATTTGGTATATGCCATTTCACCTCCTTAATAAGTTAAAATGTCCTAGATCTACATGTATCAGTATGAACAAATCACTTATCACCATTTTAACTATTTTATTAATTATTCATTCAATATCTGCATCCCCTTCTAGATTGCGAACAAGCAAGGGTTTGATCATACTCATTAACTATCACATATCCTAAGTACTCGGTAGTATCTAGCATGTATCATGCAAGAGTCAAATAAATATTGGTTGAATGAAGAAGCAATTAGTGAACGAACAATAGGATAATGCTAAAGCTAATTTATATAAAATTTGAACTACTCCATCCAATTAAATTGGCTAAATATCTTAAACTGTGTGCTGCTTAAACAAAAACTAGTGAAATACTGAGATATAACTGGTTCTTAATAGGAAAAAAGGAAAAAAATAATTTGAAAAGTTACACATTTGCATTTATATAGCTGGATCTAATCTTAGACATTGGTAGAGGATCTATGTGTAATGCCAGAAATGAAGAGGAAAAAACTCAAACAAGAGGAAAACAAAATTCTTGGTATATAGAATAAATGAAAAGTTGTTTGATAACTATGTAAACAGGGACAAATAATACTGAATTGGAGACCTAAAAACCAAGAAATCAGAAGAGTCCTGGCCACTTTCTTAGAGCCACTTTAGTGGAAAAGCAACTCCATAAAAAGAATGAACTATTTGACCACTCTTACACCCTACTACATTATTATAAAAGCAATAATGGAAGAACAATTTAATTGGAAAATGGGTACATTTACCACCAGCTTCCCTAAGGGCATTGAGATAGGTAGAAGTTATTTTTTAGATATAATTTAATAGCAGAATTGTGTTTCTTCACAGTCCAGTACACATGGCATGTTTTTGTGATTTTATTTATCTAACATTATCATTAAAACACATATACAAGAACTATAAATGACCATAGATGAGAATACAAATGTTTTTTTTTATCACTGAATCAGTTTATGTACAAAAATAAATTTTATTCTAAAAATAAGTGCAGATGTGAACAATGAATTCATTTTTGGATATTAAGGTTTCAGATCATAGAACTCTTATATATAAAATTAATGAAAACCCCTACAATTGAGCTCTATGAAAAGTTTTATGGAGTCAGGGTTTATAAAGGTTTTATAAATTGAGGTTAGCTGACATTTAAAGGAGACCCACAAAAAGATTTAAAATGATTTAAAAATGAATCTTCTAAGTTTTAAGGAGTTAAAATAAACATCAGCTTTTAATGCTAATATACTAATTTATACTTAATGCTGTAGGAATATACAATAAGGAAACTTTTTAAGTAATGAAAAACATAAGAAAGCTAAGCTAAAAAATTATTTCAGTGTAATAGTTGGGGCTGACTGGTTATCTACTATGGTCAATTATATTGGAATTAACTTTCCCACTTAGATAAACATTTTGGAACATAAATGTGCTGTCTGCTGAAAGTCCCCCAATAATTTCCCATCACATTTAATTTTAGTACAAGTATCTCTGGAGATAGGAACCTCTTTTCTGTGAGTGAAATAAATACACGCACATTTGAAAATCAATTATAGGATATTGGTGACATGTGATGGAGACACTGCCTGCATTATATGTTATAGTGAAAATTGAAATTATCACAAGATAACCTTGTTCAATATGAAATTTCCCTTTTTGTTCTGTCAAGGCACTCTGAAATTGTTACTGTCCTTAAATTTTCATGGAATATCCCAGTTTTATTAACAAGGAGACATAAGTTGCTCCACTTACATTTTGCAATGGGAAATAATATAGTCCATGGTCAAAACAATGGGCTCTGGAACCAAAACTGCCTGGGTGCAAATCCTGGTTCTATAGATCAAAGAGTTCTGTGACTTTCAGGAACTTACAAGATCTATATAAATATATAGAGGTAACAATAGTACCTACTTTACAGACTTTAGAAGGATTAAAAAAATCTCAAAACATTGCACTGGTCACGGTAAGTGCTAAAAAGTCATGCTATTCAAATTTTTGTTACCAGGTTTCTGCTGATGGTGCACTGGGCAGGCACTGTTGCTAGAGTTAACTGAAATTACTGACACTGAAAGCAAAATAGGAAGTCTACAGAAAACTGCAAGATCCCTAGGTTAGCAAACTGGACTGCCTAAGCAAACTGAGATTACCTAAAATTTGGCCCACACCTTTGAGTACTGCTCACTGTATATTCAGTTCTAGTCTGCACACTGCTAAGCTTCTTGTGATAAGGGACTGGGAAAGGAACTCTAGGCTTCCAAGATCTTTGGGTACAGGCAGCAGGCATAAATGAGACATTCTTTTTAAAATCACTGCCAGTTTTAGGTACAAACGGTAACCATTACCTATGTCAGAATGAATGAGAATGGTACATCTTCCTGAAGCCAATTTTACTCCAATTCTGGAGAAAAGGTTAGTCACAGAACTTGTAGTAAATACTATGTTTTAAAAAATATTAAAACAGGTAAAAAAGAATAAAATTTATATAAATTTTTAAGGTAGAAAACAAGGCTCAGAAGTTCATGCCAAAAAAAAAAAAAAAAAAGGTTCAGGCCTTGTATCACATTAGGTTACCTACCCAGATCCTATGCTCAACTTCCCAGCATTCACTGATCCTATTTAAGTCCAGAAACCACTAGGTAAACCACAAGTTTCAACCTATTGAGAACTTCTGCGGAAGATCCTAAATCCTTAACTAAAACAAAATTCTAAAATTCACAATAGCACTGAATGGGGATTTTTGCAAAGCAAAAACTACAAAACTCAGTGCTAACATAGCAACAGCCCTCTATCAAGAGTCCCCAAATATGAGGTAAATGCACTAAATGAGACCATTACATGACAAAGCCCAACATATAAGGGATATCAAATCAAGAGCAGTGCTGATTCTGTGGCAGACATATATGGTGGATGTAAAATAAAAGTGCACACAGAGACAAAATAAAAATTAAAGCTTCTCAAGTTTTTATTACTTGGCTAAAAACACAGCAGATTAGTTTTCTTTTTCCTTTGTTTCTCCTTCAGGTGAAAAAAAAATCATACGTACTCTAAGTTTTAATACCATGTTTTAGTTGAAACACTTCACAAACACATAAGGAGAAAGTTAAGCTCTACTTCCCCACCTCCTTAAAACCATTCTCTAAAGTTTCTCTTTCAGGTAAGAAGAAGAGACATTAAGGCAGGAATATTTTATTGGTATGATTTAAAAGGATTAATAGTATTAGTCACCGTAGAATTTTAACAAAATCACTTGTTCTATAATTTCATCAAATGTTAATAAAGTTTCATTGTGCAAAAAATGTAACATTCACTTCAATTCAAAGTAGAAACAATATTATTTAGTTGATTTCTTTATTTATATTGTAAATCTTGTGCAGAGACCTGGACCCACAGATTTTGTATTCAAACTTGAAAGTAAAATAATAAATTATCAACCATAAACTTTATTATAATAAAAAAAGCATGAATTTTAATAGTCATGTTTTTAACTTTTTAAAGAAAATAACTCTTGAATGGCAAATGTCAACAATATTAAAAGATTTGGAAATGAACATATCAGCAATATGAAGGCTTGAAAATGAAAACCCATTTTATGAGTAACTTTGATATAATTTTTATGTTACCTCATTTTCAGCCAAAAATGAGTTATGAGAGAAAAAAGTTTAAAAATAAAGAATACTTGAAATTAATTTATTTTGAATTTTTCAATTAGGATCTTTGTGAGTGACTGTGAGAAAGAACAAAACAACAAAACGTGGACGAAGTCCAATGAATAATTTATACCATGGTTTTATACAACATAATTAATCTCATTTAATGGAATTAAATGAATCCCCTCGAAGGATAATTGTAATTGCCTCTTAGTGATGATTTGTGAAAGGCACATAAAAAATAATGAAAACTAGTAATTAGAAAAGTTTAACAAGAGCCTAAAGATCATAATTTCAATTTGAATTTTACAATGGAATGGTCCAAATATGAACAGTTAACTAGTATAACTGATGGGAGTACTTCAAGACCATTCTAATTTTAGTAATTATACCGTGAAAACAAGCGGAGTTTATACTGATTAAGAGCCAGTCTCCTAAAAGGTGAGGTTCTCATCTATATAAACTTGTGGAGAAAAGAGCTACCCATTAGGCAAGTTTAAATTTTGAAAAGAAACCCATACTTTTTTTAAGAATAACATGATTTTAGGTTGTAACATTTCTAAGTCAACAAAGGATAAAAAGTAATGCTTTTCAAGAAAAGCAATATAAATTTCCTTCATAAATAAAAAATAAAAATCCCAGAGCTATTAAATGGAGATTGGTGCTAAGGACAGAATACATGATAGAATAATATACTGACAAATGAGGTGCCTTGTTCTGAAGCCACCCAGAGATCCAAAAATGTAAAATAAAAACAAAGGAAATAAGCTAGATATTTTGCATAGTATGTGCTGGGAAAAGCTAACTTGCAAAGAAAAAGAATTTTTCTTCTAGAAAACATTTATTTAGAACTCCAATAACCTTTTGCTAATTTAAACTTTTTACTTATATATTTAACCTAACCCCAAAGGAACTTATTTTAAAAAGCAAATGGTTCAACATTTATTTTTAGAGTCACATTTTTGCTACATTTACTTTCTTTCAAAGGTTCCAGGGTAATGTTTTATTTTTAGAACTACTGTATAATTGTAACATTCACTTCTAACTTTACTAGTCTTTATAAACTGTGGCATAAGACTGTTTACTAGAAAAATACAATTAAGTAGTTATAATATAAACACTGATGGGACAATCAGTTTGCCAAATAACTTACAGTCATATTAACTATTGTCAATTATGCTTTTCATTACAAATAACCAATAAACAAAAGGCTGTATAACAAAACACAAAACAGACCAACTCCATCAAAACAGAGAAAAAAATATTGTACATATGTTAACTGAGAAAGCAAGGTGCTAAGAAACCTGGAAAAGGGGGTTGGTTGAAGTGGGAGTTTGCACCAGATAAACTTTAAGATTACTTTCAAGCGCAATTATAGGATTCTTATCTATTTTATTTTATTTTTTGAGAGAGAGAGAGAGCATTTGTGCATGCAACTGCGGGAGGGAGAGAGACTCTTGGGCAGGCTCTACGCCCAGTGCAGAGCCCGACTTGGGGCTCAATCTCACAACCCTGAGATCATGACCTCAGCTGAAATCAAGAGTCAGATGCTTAACTGACTGAGCCCCCTGGCGCCCCTCAATTATGAAATTCTAATAAATTACAAGATTATGGTAAATGAAAGAACATCAAAGAACTAGAAAGTTTGAACTATGTTTTAAAAATAAAATAAACTCTTCAGCTGTTTATGAACTAAAACATAACTCAGGGCTTCAAGTGGAATTACTGGACAGAGGAGATTTTTATTATATAAACAAAAATCACCAGTCATGTTAATATGGAAACAAATCTAAAACTATTTCAGGTAAGAACTTTTCCTTTTAAAAGCTAATTTCAATTGAAACAGATAATTTCAATCATCTGAGGTATTAGCATTGGAAGTATTTCAGCAAGGTAAATAACTTAATGAAAAAAATCATTATTTTTAATAATACTATGTCCAGAAAAATCAAATCCTCAGATATTAAAATTTGGCTTAAAAATAGATATACCAAGTTGTTCTTTATCACTGAGATTTAATTAAATATTTCTGAGTTAGTAAATGAGATTTAGAGTTGAAAGTCTAATAATGGTGTTATGAGATCAATTGCCAAAATCTGTCACTTGATTACTCTTTCTTGTGAGCCTCCATACTGAACTGTATGGAGTTCATCACAGCATTTGGCACCAAGAATCATAATTTGTTCTTTTCTGTTTTTTTATCCCATACATAACAGTTCTCCATAACAAGTAATTTATGCAAAAAAATACCACAGATACCACCAAAAAAAGCAACACACGCAAGTGCTAATTTATGTCATTCATTTTAGTTAAAGGTTAATGTAATTCATTAGAAAGCCATTATGAGAGTTTAATCAACACAGGCTTTACACATTCTGCATATATATCTTAAAAGTCTCTACAGCTACAGATTCTAAAAATCACTATAGTGGATCTACAATATACAAAACAAATGGTAAAGTCAACCTTAAAATTAATGACCTTTCATATTTCAAAATATAAATAAAAAAGAACATTTTAAAACTATAGTATAATAGAATCACTTCATTAAATACAAAGATTTATGATCAGTCTCCTTAACATCATCTATTTAAAAAGTAAGTATCTTTTCTATTACTATTTAAAAAATTAAGGACTCCTTAACATCAAGTTTTGCCAGCTCTGTTTTATGTTGGATAGATTTTGCTCTAGATGCCTTTATAGTAGTTTTAAAAACTCAACTAAAACAGACCAAGTGTAACTCTAAATTTCTTCAAGTCTGTATGGAATTCACTTTGATAAACTACTTGAGCAGGGGAAGAGAGAAGGAGAAAAGAACCTCTCCCGGTCCAATCAAATTCCTTCTATTTCTATGCAGTGTAAGAAACAAATGTTTCAAACTATGTTACAACTTGAAATAAAAGTGGTTGAACTTAATTTATTTGAATATATATATATATATTTTTTAAAGATTTTATTTATTTGACAGAGAGAGAGACAGCAAGAGAGGGAACACAAGCAGGGGGAGAGGGAGAGGAAGAAGCAGGCTTCCCAAGGAGCCGGGACCCTGATATGCAGGGCTCGATCCCAGGACCCTGGGACCATGACCTGAGCCGAAGGCAGATGCTTAACAACTGAGCCACCCAGGCGCCCCTTGAATATATTTTCCTGTTTAATTTTGCCTTTGAACTCCATGACAGAGAATGGACTAAGGTGAAGTCTATCCTAAAAAAATCTAAGTGAAAATTTGAAGGATGGGCCATGATACTTCATAACAGCTGTATTCTCCAACATCCGGTTTTGGTTTTATTACACAGTGTAAATATTACATTTAATATAAAATAGTAAAGGAATGGAACAGAAATCATGTTATTTTGAAAAAATTGCATTCTAGCATTTTCAAGATTGGTTAGGAGAAACACCCAAATTTTCACAAATGAAAAGTAAAGCACATTCTTAAAATAAAAATTGTGCACAATTTTTGGAATAAAACTATTCCATAAGCTGTTCAAAATGAGAAGTACATTATTTTTTTTAAGTTGAATATAATCCTTCCATATAATAAATTTTGGAAACTGCCATAAAGTCAACTTTCCACATGAAATTTGATGTTCTTGCTTTCCCTTTTATGGAGTTCCCCAATACTGTTACTCGTACTCTGACAGTGCAGGTAGTGAAAGGGCACAGAAAAAGAAAGCACAATCTTTAGAGTTAAAATGAACAAGTAAAATACCTTATATTTTATAAATCCTGGGGCAGCAAAAATGTTAAGAGTTATTCTATGATAAAACTTGGAATAGGAATAAAGCAAAGAACCATTTACACATAACATACTATGTGGAAAGGACTGCTGCTGATTTTCAGAAGATGGATGGATGGATGGATGGGTGAATGGATAGATGGACAGATAGACACAGATATACTCACAAACACATACATATAAACATGCACACATTATATATAAATTATCAGGATACAGACTGGCATATCAGTATATAGCAGTGTTTCTTTCCACATACATACATACATGCCTATAAAACTCTACACTGTCAGACAGACCAAGACCACCAAGTTCTTTGAGTCACCTCTCCCTGACCTTTAAATGGATTAAAACAACAACAAAAAAATTCCAAATGTATCTTTAAAAGTAAACAATCATAAACATTACATTTTGAATATATCATGACACTTGAACTCCGTATTTACTAGTCCCCAAAGAACTTTATCAAAAATCCCACAAATACCAATTCTTATAAACAATGGTATTTCGCTTTCAAATAGTTCTAAAATTCTACAGTATATTTGGGACATCTTCTCTGGATACAAATTATGGATATGATCAAACAGAATAAAGTACAGTTGACCTTAAACAATGTTGGGGTGGGGGTAAGGGACACTAACCCCTATGTAGTTGAAAATCTGCACATAACTTTTGACTCTCCCAAAACTTAACTACTAATAGCCTACGCTGACCAGAAGCCTTACCAAGAACATAAACAGTTGATTAAAACACACTTTGTATGTTATAGTAAGCTGGAGAAAAAAAATTTAGAAAATCATAAGGAAGATAAAATACATTACAGTATTGTACTACAAATTAAATTATATAAGTGGACCCATGCAGTTCAAACCTGTGTTGAGAGTCAACTGTACTGTATTTAACCAATAATGCACGAAGCCTCATTATAATTTGGACTATGTTGTGTAAATATACAGAAAGAAGTAAGTTCCTTCTGAAAACTAAATTCCTTAAAAAGTAGTTAAGATGAATTTCTATATTATAGTTATTCCACTCTAATACAAGTTCTATGTGAATGACAATTCTAAAGTAGTATTATGATACTCTTCATTTGATTTAGCAATATGATTTTCCTAAACTAGACAACAGATAAAACAACAGTGACACAGTGAATAACACCAGTGATACTCTTCCTCAGAAAGCAGAAACAGCATACAGGGTAGACTTTTGGAAGGTAGACAAATGGAAAAACAACAAAAAAAAAAAATTGGGAGAAAAGTCTTTATTCAAATACTTCTAGTACAACCAATAGGAAATGTCCTCTCCCTCAAAAAATCCCACTAACTCTATACTTTGCTTAAAGATAAAAAAAATCAAACAAAGCCCTTTTGAGTATTTCTAGTATCTCTTCACAACAGCCTCAGAATTAAAAATATAAAACATTTTAATAGTATCTTGATAAAGGAAATTTTTTGTTAAAATTCAACTACTTGTACTTAAAATGCTAGAGTTGCTTTCATCAAAAAAAAAACAATAAAATCAGCTTAAAATAAATTTATTGTACAATACAAAAAGTAGGCATACTGGAAAATAAAAGGTACATTATTAAATATACAAAGCAAATGAAAGAAAGCTAAGTAACACAAATGTTTTAATCCAAACACTAAGATAAAATGCACAACATTTATGCTAAAAATAAAGTATTTCAGGAAGGATATGCATTTCAAACGAAATGTTAATAATAAAAAAAGGAAAAACAAATGTGCTAATTTCTAAATGCTTGAATATCAAGAATCAGTAATGGCATGAAACATTAAATCCACAATACTGGGTACTTTTCAAGAACTTTATTTGAAAAGGTATTAAAAATAATGAAGGAATCAATTTAAAGAATGTCCTTAAATCTGGCAAAGATTTTCCTTCTTTATTTTTTTCTTAAGGTAAAGTTTGGGGGCCTATTCACAGTATCTTCCCTCTTCCATTTGGATACCTTCCTACAAAAATTTCTGGATGCTCATCCTTAACAAGATTTTTAAAACACAGTTAGCTTAGATAATGCTACTTCACTGGTAAGTGTGCACTTACCAACATAAGTGCCATAAATTAACAACATAATTTTGAAATCTATACATATGGACACAACAGGAAACATTAAATTTTCATTTTATAAAGTAAAACCAATCTCCAAATGAAATAGTAAAATGTAACAATTTAGAGCATAGGGGAAAAAATAAAACTTTTTCCCCCATCTATCAATTAAGACATTCCCCAAACTGTAAATGGCTTTCGTGGAACTCATAGTATAAATGATACTGTTTAAAGGTGTTGCAGAGGCGAGGACTTCAAAAAAACCAATCCCCTGTCAATGGCCAAGCCAGAAGTATCCAGTGAGATATGCATTTATACATTAGAGAAATATTCAAGTAACCATAAAATCCTTTAAAACTTAACATATAATTATTTAAATACTTAAGTTTAATACTTAAGTTAGCCCAAAAAGCTTCTGACCAATACCTTTGGAAGGGAACTTCTTTTCCTATTATCATAGTTCCCAAGCTCCAGACATCATATGATCAGGTTTTCTGTATTTATTTTGCACCAGTATCTAAATTACTCAGTGAAACCTTTTTTACTACACTATTATTTACTTTCATAGACGTTATCTACCACATTTATGCCAGGACACTAAAAAAAAAACAAACTATCAAGTTCTCCTTCTAGACCCCAGACCTCATCACTGCTCCTCCAAAATCTACAAGTTTAAGAATGGATAAAACAAAAACCAAGAACACCTTGTAGGTATGGGAAACTGTGGGGAAAAACAAAGAGATATTTGGAAGAAGGAAGAAGTGTGAATAGGTCCTACAGAATCTTACAATCACTTTGCCAAGACAGACTTTAAGCATTTTAAATTATTCAAAACAGTCCTTCTCTTAAAAACAAGTTTTGATTCTCAATATTGCATTTTATAACCAAACAAAAGGATTCAGATCTAACATTTTAGTAGCATACTTACTACCATCAGACTGAATTCATTTCCTAAGTACTCCAAAAGAGTTCAAATAAAACAAACTTCATGAGATGTTATTATAATTTATCATAAAAGATTCATTAGCATTTGTGAAATTATTAGGATAATAAAAATATTAAAAGCTAAAACCCAAGACTTCACCATTCATACTTAAATATAACAGAAAAAGTAACGTGGGTAATACGAAAACAAAATTGTTTAGGTAAACATTTCACTTGAAGACACCCACTGTTGCTCCTTCTGAGTAACCATTATAGCTTTTTAACAGTGAAATGTCATTATCTTACTTCTGAAATTCTTTGGCTGGAATGTTTTAGTAACATAAGACACTCCTGTACATGACAATTTTGACAGAACATAGAGAAATTGCAAAATAAAAAAAGCAAAGACATGATTTATGTTTTAAAGTGTTTGATAAAATTTAAAATGAAGTTTTAAAAATTTAAAGCCAATCTATCACTAAAAAGGGCATAAAATGTAAACTTAAGCTAATTTTATAATCTACTGCTATATTAAATAATTTGGGGTTCATTAATTTTGCCTTTTTAGTTTTGTATTTAGCATAGAAATAACTTTCTACTGCCCCTACAGACATCATGTAAGTTTTAAAACTGGGAAAGAAAAAACAAAATGTAATGAAATTTATGAGTTCAATGTGTGGGTTTTAGAACCAAAAAATTAAACATTTGTTACTATTTTAAAATGAGGATTAAGTTAAAATTTTAATTATACCATCAAAAAATTTAAAGGAATTTTTCCTTTTTGCATCTTCAAAAATAAAGCAAATTTGCTTTACTTATTTATAAATACTTTTTTAAAGACCAACAAATCCACTTTTTAATCTCTTATCTTTATACAAAGATTAAAAGGAAAAAAAGCTTTATGGCTCCAGCACCCAAGGTTGAGAACACAAAAAACTCAAATAAATATTTATAGTATGCAAAAAAGCTAAAGATGTTTGAGAGGTTAAATGAAGAACATTCTGAAACTAGAACCCATTTCTTTAGCTTTTCTCTCCCAGACTTTCCATTCTATATACTACAGTTGTAGAGATGTCCTCATTTGACTCAGGTGACACTTTTTTCCATACTGTCTCTTTTAAAGCAAGTTCTTGTTGGAGACTTTCATAGTCCAATGGTCCAAAGGAATGCTAGTTGTTCAAGCAACATACATAATTTATTAGTGCACTTGAGTGAAGAAAGGTCCAAGCTATAAAACGGTATTTTTCAATGAATGTTATTAAAATCTGTTAACATTTTCACCCACCACCATTTGATGTTTTGTTCCATGTTACTCATGTTGACTCTCATGGAAGTTTCTATTCTGTTGGCTTTGTATAATTCTCATATTATTAGAAGTTACTTTGATTGGAACAATAGGAAAATTTTCTTACTATGCATAAAAATAATTTCTACTTATATAAGTGCTTCATATTAGCTTCAAGTCTAATTAGTTATTTACTATAAACATCCAGATGGGATGTAAAAGAATTTAATTAAAACTCAAAGCAAGTCCTTGTTCCAGTGAATAACTATGAAGACAAAAAATCCTGTTCCTGAAATTTAAGTCCTGACTCTTAAATATTAGCTCTAAAAAAGTATATATGTGCAATAATATGAAGCCAAACACACTGATAAATAAATATTACTTTAAGAGTGTCAAGAATTCTATATTAAACACTTTTTAAAGAAAAGTATTTCATTGGTAGTGGCCACTAAAACTTACTATGAGGCTTTGAAAGGTCTTTCACTAATACTATAAATCCCTTTCCCATTTATATATCCATCCACATCAAAATAAACTTCAAGACTATAACTGACAAATATTAAGAGTAAAAACAAGGCTTTCTTTTATAGCATGTAGCTAGCACTCTCCAATGTTGCTTTCTTGGAACAGAATCAATTCTTTTTTCTTTTTAACAGAATCAATTCATAAAAATATTGCTTAAAATAGCAGGAAAATGGGTGGTGGGGAAACTCTGCTGCTAGGCTAACCAGTTTAAATTTAAATAAAACAGCAATATCTATATACTACCATGTCCAGGGTAAAAATGTCAACAACTTGTGTATACTCATTTGTGATTAGCAAATATATGAGGCCACTAACAATTAAACTAAGTTCTATTCAAACAGGTGAATCTCATTTTCTTTCTCTTAGAAAAATATTACATAATAATCTAAATAAGAATTTTGCTTACCCTTTGATCACCACCTTCTCTTCGAGGATCAAGTTTTTTTGCAAAGTGTCTCAGATTATCATAGTTATGGAAATTACAGAGAGAAACAAGATCCTGTAAATAAACAGAACAGGTGTAAGAAACTGGCTATTCATTGGCCATTGTTTTTTCATATTTTAACAAATCACACTAATATTGTCCAACTTAACTACTATCTCATGGAAAATACCACTGCATGCTAATAAAGCGGCATGATGCATCAAGAAGAGAACTGAAATGAGAATGAGAAGACATGGATAAAAATTTTGAGAACACTGCTTACGAGCATGACCCTAGGGCTCAACCATCAAATTGTTTAACTTTCATTTCCTATAAAATGGGTACTATAGTAACAAGCCATATGAAAGAACTATTCTATCAAATAACCATAAAGCAACACAAAAATATAAATCAATATTCCGGTTATAATCTATTATAATCTATAAGCAATCCAACGTCATCCTCTAGTTTTTGTAAAATATAAAAAACTGAAAAATAAGTCAGAATTTTAACTGAGAAAGTTTGCAGAAAAATTATGGCACTCAATAGAGATTCCATGAAGTAGTAAATGTACATAAAACCAGAAGCTGAAATATTAGCAAACTTGGGTAACAACATAAAATAGTGAACTAATCAACAGTAGTAACAATTTTATTTTGCAGTGCTTATGTCCTCAAAAAAGAGACTTTTCAAGGTAGTTTATGGATAAAGATATTCAAACATGCAGATTAAATGATGATACAATAAACTATAATAATCTTAATTTATGTTGGGCTTTAAATTTAAACCTTTCCAAGTTTAATAACTTTAGCTGAGCTTTCAGAAACTGAAAACTATTTAAAACCATGACAATTAAAACATCAGTTTCAAATGTAATTTTCTGTGGGAATGAGTATATGGGAGCTGTCTGATAGAAGCAATTTAAAGCTCCTCTATGTGTACTTCCACGGCTACCCCAGTAACTGGCAGACAGGCAGGCAGAATGCCAACAATCAATAAACTACTGAAATGAGTAAAAAAAATAGAATCACTGGATGGTTCCACTTACATGATCATTATCATACAACATCCATTCATGATAAAAACCTTCAACAAAGTGGGTTTAGAGGGAACATACCTCAACACAATAAAGAGCCTTATATGAAAAACCCACAGCTAAAACCATACTCAATAGGGAAAAAAACTTGAGAGCTTTTCCCCTAAGGTCAAGAACAAGATGTCCACTTTTATTCAACATAGTACTAGAAGTCCTAGCCACAGCAATCAGACAACAAAAGAAATAAAAGGCATCCAAATTGGTAATGAAGAAGTAAAACTTTCACTATTTGCAGATGAAATGATACTCTATATAGAAAACCCTAAAGACTCCACCAAAAACTACTGGAACTGATAAATGAATCCAGTAAAATCACAGGATACAAAATCAATATACAGAAATCCAATGCATTTTTACACACTAATAATGAAACCACAGAAAGTAAGAAAACAATCCCATTTATAATTGCACCAAAAATAATAAAATACCTAGGAATAAACTTAACCAAAGAGGTGAAAGACCTGTATTCTGAACTATAAAACACTGAAGAAAGAAACTGAAGACGACACAAAGCAATGGAAAAGACATTCCATGCTCATGGACTGGAAGAACAAATACCACATCATTTCACTTGCATGTAGAATTTAAGAAACAAAACAAAGGGGGGGAAAAAAGAGATAAACCAAAAACCGACTCAACTACAGAGAACTGCTGGTTACCAGCGAGGTGGGTAGGGGAATGGGTGAAACAGGTGAAGGGGATTAAGAGTACACTTATCACGATGAACACTGGGTAATGTATAGAATTGTTGAACCACTATATTGTACACCTGAAACTAATACATCATTGTATTTTAACTATATAGGAATTAAAATGGAAAAAACTGTATCATTGGATGGTTCCACTTATGTGACCATTATTTTCAGTAAGAAAATACACTTACATGACAGAAATGAATTCCCTTAACACTGTTGCCCATCTTGTCCAGAGGAGGAGACCAGCACATCATGCCCATGACATTGGGGACAACTAAAAGAATGCCCCCAGCAACTCCGGATTTTGCAGGAAGACCAACCTGAAAATAATTTGAAAAAAAGGATATTCATGTTAACATTTTAAAAAAAGAAAAGTTATGTCCAACAATAAGGGAACTGGTTTAAAAATTATGGTTTACATACACACAGTAGAATTCTAACATTACAAATGTAGAAAAGTATTTTTCAACATGTTTATAATACAATAAATGAGAAAACACTATTAAACAGTTGAGATATGTTTGAATATAGAAAAATTTGAAAAGATATACTCTAAGGATTAAAGTAAATTACATCTAAATTGTGGGGCTACGCATGTTTTTATTTTAGTCTTTTGGTCTATATTTTTTAATTCTATAATAAACATGTATTAAAGTATAAAAAATTACTTGGAAAAAATATTCTATGACTAGAGAACAATGAGAAATTATATCTTCTTAAAAGATTCTCTGTGGTATACTGTCAGAGAATTGTCTGAGGAATAGAAATAAGATGGTAATTCAAATTAATCCTCTTCAAAACTTAAGTTTGCATTATGCAACACTTGACAATAACTGTGATAAAAGACAATATATTAATATCATCAGGGCAGTATTCATTAATGGCTTACTAACATTCCAACATTGACTACCTATCCTAGAAATAATCTTGCACAAAACCCAAGAGGAAAAAAAAAAAAATCACCTGAATGGGATATACCAATTTACCAGGAATACAAGATACAAGGGACAATGGTATGGATGCAATAAACAAAATCTATACTGTGAGAAACTATACAGGATAAATGACCCAGTTTTATCAACTAAAAATAACAAGAAAAAAGAGAGGTCAAGGGGAAGAACATAGATTTTGAACATAATAATAAAGGGAGATAAAACCAATCACAGTGTATGGCCTTTATTTGCATCCCAAGTCTATTATTATAGAAAATAATAATTTATAAGACAATCCAGATCATCTGAACACTAAATATTTTGATGCTATTAATCTTTTTAAATGCAATAATGCTGCTACGGTTTTTTAAAGACGTCCTTATCATTTAGAATTACATATTAAACTACAGCAAGGGTGGGGAATAAAGATAAACAATATTGATCATGTATTGATAATTACTGAAGTTGAGTAGTGGGTAACATTAAATGCATTTCTCTGTTTTTCTGTTTTAAAATTTTCAAATAAAAATTTTTTTAGGGCATTATGTCTTCACATAAGCAGAATGAGTTAGAAAGCCTATACATTTCACAAGTGTACAAAAATGCTCACAAGTGCACAACAGAGCTTAAAGCAGTATATTTTTGTTAAATATACTTTAAGTACTTTAAAATATCTATGACAATAACCATAGATGTTAAACATCACAATTATGTGCTCCTTCTGAACTTAAGGAATTCTTGAGGTACATAATCACCATAATGCTAAATATTAACAAGGAAAAGCAAAGAGGTCTATACTAACCTTGTACTTTGGAATGCCTTATAAGTAGAAGTGATGAGGTTCTATAAATTAAACTTCAAGTTCTTAAGAATATCTGGTAGAGGGGCGCCTGGGTGGTTCAGTCAGTTAAGCGTCTGCCTTTGGCTCGGGTCATGATCTCAGGGTCCGGGATCAAGCCCCATTTCAGGCTCCCTGCTCCTCGGAGAGTCTGCTTCTCCCTCTTCCTCTGCCCCTCCCCCTGCTCATGCTCCCTGTCTCTCTCTCAAATAAATAAATAAAATCTTAAAAAAAAAAAAAAAAAGAATATCTGGTAGGCTGCTTAACTCTATTTCTTACCAAGTCTGTAACAAATTAACCTTGAAAACAAGTCTCTCTCTCAAAAATTAATGTGCAGCTTTAGAACCAAAGTTCAAACTATATTTTTAAAAGAACTAGTCCAGACTAGTTCCTCGCAGTAGAAAATTAAGATTAAACAATTACTTACATGGAAAGCAAACTGCCCTGAGAAATCATACATGCCACAGGAATGCATCAAACTCAGTGTATTTCGAACTGCTTCAGGGCTCAGTACTCTCTCACCAGTAATTGGACAGAAACCACCATTAGCCAGTGTTGCAGCCATCACACTGGCTGATTCACAAGTTACTTCAATGGAGCATAGCTAAAAGGAAGAAAAAAACTGTCTGAAAATCTGGGTTCACATTAATTTTTGTACTGCAGTTGACTTCTAAGGAAATCTGTTTCATCTAGTATTTCATACAGATCTGAAATCTTTCTTCCAAGGGGATTATTTTAATATAACTTGATAATATTCCAAAGATTTTAATTTGAACAAAGTTCAAGCCCCTTTATGGTTTATCCTGATTTGCCCAGTCACCTAATCTTCTAATGGCAAAACTAGGATAGGAAGAGCCAGCCCCTAAGCACTAAGATTTGTAATTGCCCCAAGTGATATTAAAAGTTGTTTAAATATTAATACTTTCTGTTGGATACACTAACAATTATTTTTAAATCAAAAGAAAAAGGAGCCATGATATAGTTTTAAGATAAAGCAACAGACATCAGTATGATAAATAGCATCTACGTGAGAAATTGCCACTTAAGGAAAAAAATGCTAAATGCCTAACATTTCACTATAGCAAAGCTCAGCATCCCTATGTAGCAACATGCAAAAAATTAAGGGAAGAAAACTCTAAGATTGCTCTAGCCTGGATATTCTGTGTGCCTAAATCAAAATGCACTTATTAATATTCAAATACTTATTTGATACTGATTATGGCTGCTGGATAAATTATGATCAATAAAGAAGGCAAAGTCCAAGTACAATATAGTTTGAAATTTTTGCATTTAAATATAATCAAAATAATGGAAACACCTTATCATAGCAAACCCAAAATTACTCATAAAACTGAAACAATAAATATGCTCCATTTTATTTTTCCTTAACAGCAACCAAACTGTGGGGGGTAGGGGAGAAAGGAGAGGAGAAAGAGGATGGAAGAGGGAGCAGGAGAGAAAGACTAGGTTCTCAACTTGCAAGCTTTCCTTATTCATACTTCAAGACTGTACAAGAGGCACAAAAGGGGTCTGGAACAGTAAGAAGGAAAACTAATTAGCTATAGTGTATTAGGAAACTGACTGAGAACCACTTTTTGACTGACATTTACTTTTGTTTATTTATATTAAAATCTCTTCCCTATTTCTTCAAAACTACAAAACCTACTTACTATACTGACCCAGACAGCAAAGCCTTATAGTAGATTTAATCATGAAAGTCTTTCTAAAATAGATTTAAATTCCAATGATCATTTCCCAATTTAATCCTTAGTATTAATTGGAATTTTGTTTGTCATAAGATGATATACTACTAACTTTACAAATCCCAATTTGAGAGTACTTTCCTGATACCCTGATGGATGTTCAATTACATACAGCCCTTCTCCAAAAACGTAAGGCTTCTATGGCCTTCTCTTGATTTTTGCCCAGAAGTGCAGACACTTCACAGTAGATTAGTAGCACCTAGGCTGTAACAGCCAAACTCAAGTATGTACACCAAAGGAAAAGAAGCATTAATGTATGGAAGAAATTCATATGGGCAGGGGGAAAATAGGGCTACTGGATAAAAGTAACTATGACGCTGTATTTTATGTTAACACCTTATAGCTTCAAAGGAATTTCACACACATCATCTCATATTATCTTCAAGGTAACGCAGAAAGTTAGGGCAAGCATGTGCTACACATAATGAAACTAGGTCTAAGTAATTGAAATTAGGTCACATGGCTAAAAAGTGGCCAGATTAGACCTTGATTTTATATTGATAGTCTGGATTCTCAATTCACAGTTCTTCACATTGGCAGATGACAAACTGCCATCAAAATCTACTTCATTATCAACCTCCCTTACATATTCTTGAAGATTACTACAAATTTGAAATTCAAGCACTTCTTCAAAAGTAAAGACAGACAAATGTAAGGTTAACTAGAAACCAATAACAATTAATTTGTTATTATGTGGCTTGACATTATATCCCATCAGAGGCACCAATGTTATTATATCTGTAGGAATGAACTGAAATGAAAACACAGGGAGAAAAAAGGGATGCCCAGGAAGGCTATTTAAAACTGAGTTCTAACTACATCAAAAGCTAATGATGTAATGTATGGTGATTAACATAACATAATAAAATAAAAAAAATAAATAAAACTGCATTCTATAACTATAGCAGATTATATGAATGACCCACCTCCCTTATGAATGTTTAGAGTTAGAAGTTAGAAAAAACCCTCTTTAAGTTAGAAAAAACCCACCATATGACATTGCAAAAATGAATTAAACCAACCAAGAAACTGCCTCTTTAAGATGCTGAGTATGAACCGTCTGATAAAGAAACAAATAAATCCTCCAAACAAAATTGAAAAGCTAAGAAATCGCTTAGTTTATAATAAGAACAAGCCTGGAGTTATACATCATTTTTGACACTTCTTAAATATGTTTTTACAGAAAAAAACTCTCTATTACATTCTGAGGCATGACATTTTAGGAGAAAAAGACATGAAATTATCTTTTTTTTGGAAGGTCAATGGTAAATGTATTTTATCTTAGCCAGGAGCCATGATTTCACAGATATCTATATTCTGCAAAATGTGACATGCCCATTTATATATAAAATTCATAGAGTTAAAGTAAATTACCTGGAAATAGAAGTCTAATATACCAACCATGTCTGTGCCTTCTGGAAAACACTGGAAAAACAGAAAGGCAATTAAAAACAAGTATATATGCACATATGTAAAAGACACATAAAGATTAAATTTAAAATGTACACAAATGTTTCATCTTGAGAAAATAGCACATAACCTATAAACAGTATAAACATGAAATAATGAAGAACAATAAAGTAAAAGTACATCACATACAGATTTCTAAATACTAGTTTAACAATGATAAACTGATTCATAATTCATAAACTAAGTTACTGGACCACCCTCTTAAAATTTAAAAATCAAATGTAATCAACAATAGTCTGGCATTACACTTTTGGAAAAATGGGCTAATCCTTAAGCAAAACTTGCATTAATAAAACTAGTCAAATATTTGAATACTGCCAGATACTAAATCGATTTAATAATATTAACATTTTGATACCATTAACTCAAAAGAGTGTTTTGCGAAAACTTCTGTACCTTAACTAGTAATAGGTAGTTGCTTAAAATCTGTTGCTGAGTTCTTAACATACATCTTAATGTAATTTAGGAAATAAAATAATTTGAAATAGAAATAAAAATTCAAAAAACCTTTTTTTCTTTTAGGTAATATCCTATTGCAAAATTTCGATCTCCACTTTCTCTTTCAGACTGAAACCTAGGAAGAAAAGAAAATTGCTCTATTTACTTATTTTCTGTAAGAGTATGATTGTTCTGTAGTTTAATTTGTATAGCAAAGTAAAGTATAAAGAACACATTGACCTAAGAGTCAAGATTGCTAGGTTCCAATCCCAGTTCTGTCAATAGGCTAGCTATGTGTCTTGGGGAAGTTATTTAAGTGACAATTCTTTTAGCCTTAACTTCCTCAGCTATAAAAGGACTGAAATGAGCTAGGCCCTTTCTAATCTTCATATTTTATGAATAAAGAAGCTAATTTTAAAATTATCAAATATTCCATCATTAAAAAATATACTAAGAAGTTGCAGAATCTCTGGATCCTCCAAAAGTACAATAATCAATTCCAACTGAGGAAATTTCACTGAGAGAGGGACACATGAAATGGGCCTTTCAGCATTTGTTAGATTAACAGATTTCAGGGGGAAGCCTAGACAGTGGCAAATTCCATGTAGCAAGAACAAAGTTAAAAAGTATAAAAGACAGGACTTCATTGAAGAATGGCACATATTCTTAAAAGAACTAGGCAAAAAAAAAAAAAAGAAGAATGGCACATATTCTGATGTATCTGGGAAATAGGGTTCATGGAGAAGAGTGGAGAAACATCAAACTAACAAGGGAGACTAGGACCACATTATCAAGACTGATAAATGCTAAAAATGGCTCCTGATTGCCAACAAAATGAAAGCTTCAAGGCTTTCAATCAAATTACCTTGTCAGATCTACATTTTAGAAGGATAACTTGACATCAGTTTGGGAAAGGGAAAAAAGAAAGGATGACTGATGCTATTAGGAGACCGGAGTAATAAGAGCCACCGAAAGCCTGAACTTAGGTAGTGGTGATAGGAATGGAAGGACAGGTATGATCAAACATGAGAGCAGTTCAGCAAATCTTCCAACTTGATGGGAAAGAGGAGAAACAGGGTGAATGAAGTCTGGTACAAAACTCTAGATTTCTAATGCAGTCTACTGAAAGGATCGTGATACCAACTGATGGGAACCCTGCAGCAAAGGGCAGTTTGAGAAGAAAGAAAATGAGTTTTAATTTAGACAGATTTAATTTGCAGTACATTTGAGAAATCAACCTACAAGAGTCCAGAAGGCTGCTGACAAAAGAGGAACTGTGGGTGACACACTGTATTATCGATCATGGAGTGGGGGGTGGCAGTCCCCCCTACCTATACATTTTAATGTTCTTATGGTCAGAAAAACAATGCTGAATGTGGAAAAGCTCTTGAAAATAAACTTATCCACTTGCCATACCTTTAAAAAAAAAATCAACATAGTGTAGTAACTACTCAGCAATTATCACAATGCCTAGCATATACCTCTGTGCAACAAACACTAAATCAAGTGCCTATTATCTACCAGGTAACAGGAATACAAAAATGAATTGGAAGATATTCTATCCAGGTCTAAAGGAGATCAGAGTCTAATAGCGGTGATGGGGCAGAGAGACACAGAGTAAGCTCAATTAAATATGGTAATATGAGACCACAGAAGAGAGGTGAGATGAGATTCATGAAAAACTTCTGGGAAAAGATACTTAAGCTGATGAATAAAAGTTGGTACAACAACCTGAAAATTTTTGCCTCCTGAAACATGTAGTACAAAGCGTCACTTAGTTAGTAGTCATGTCAAAACTGTTTCAGCTTTATCTAACCACAGGAAACAACCAGACCTATTCAAAATGGAGAATATCCACTATAGCCAGATGCAGCCTACTGCCTGTTTTTAGAAATAAAGTTTCTTGGAAGATCACCTCATGTTGTCTATGGCTGCTTTCCTACCAAAATAGTAGAGATGAGTAGTTGCAACAGAGTCTATATGGCCCACAAGTCTGAAATATTTACTATCTGGTCCTTCACAGAGAAAATTAGTTAATTTCTACTTTGTAAAACAAGTGATTGACACTTCCAAAAAAAGCCATTTAATAAAATTTTATAAAGCAAGGGTACAGAGCAGGGGTACTCTTCTATTTTAATAAAGCAAGAGAGACTTATATAAATGTATTGTATGAACCTTGATTAATTCCTGGGGAAAAAGGCTGTAATAGGCATTTAAGGGACAGTTGGGGACATTTACATATTAATGATATTTTTAAATTAATGTTAATGATCTTAAATATGTTGATGGTATTGTGGTTATGTAGGAGAATGTCCTTATGAATACACATGTTGAGTTATTTAAGGGTGAAATGTTGTGATATCTATAACTTTATTTCTATTAGTTCAGGGAAAAAATCCCAACATATACATGTATATTTACATATATGTACATATATAGAGAGATACACATGTTTTTAAACACTTCTATTTAAAGAAAGAGGTTGAGGAAAAGCAAATGAGACAAAATATTAATCAGAAAATATAGGTGAAAGATACCCAGATATTCACTGTTTATTATTTCGACTTTTCTGTAGACTGGCCAATTTCAAAATAAAAAATTGGGGTGAAAGTCAACTTAGCTAGGCAGAGAAATTAAGAGAGGTAAGACAGGGGCATCTGAGTGGCTCAGGCAGTTAAGCGTCTGACTCTTAGTTTCTACTCAGGTCATGATCTCAGGGTTGTGGGGATCGACCCAGTAATGGGCTGCTCATTCAGCCTGGAGTCAGCTTGTCCCTCTCCCTCTGCTCTCCATCCTCTACCCCGGCTCACACACGCTCTCTCTCTCTCAAAATATATAAATAAATAAAATCTTAAAAAAAAAAAAGAGGTAAAATATGTATTACAGGCAAAGAAAAAACTGAATAACTGTATCGGTAATTTTTTTTTTTGAAGACTTTATTTATTTATCAGAGAGAGAAAGAACACAAGCAGGGGGAGTGGCAGGCAGAGGGAGAAGCAGGTTCCCTGCTGAGCAAGGAGCCCAATGCTGGACTCAATCCCAGGACCCTGGGATCATGACCTGAGCCCAAGGCAGACACTTAACAGACTGAGCCATCCAGGCATCCTTAACTATTAGTAATTTAAGGTAAAGTTGGATTCCTTTCTAATTCTATAATTACCCACAAGAAGTTTATCAAAACTGTTTAAAGCATTTATTTATTCACTGAAGTAAGCCCTAGATTCAACAAGGGAGAACAGATTAATTCTAAGTACACTGTGTATTATAATATAGAGAAAGCGGGGAGAGGGAGGTAGAGGGGAGGGACAAGACAGTATTTAAAACAGAATTCTATAATCTAGTTATTTTTGTTAATTTAAAGAGGCCTGGCCTATTATAAAAAAAGTAAGTCATAAATCAGACTCACGTCGCATTACTGAATCCAACATATTCATTGCCAGCCATCTTATTCAAAAACTGCATCACCTATAAACCAAAATTAGAAAGTATTAGTAGTCAAAAAACAAATATATAAGGAATATAAATATAACATGAAAACTGAATTCCATATTGCACTTACATAGTCAAATTTTTCAGCATTATTCACTCCTTGCTGCAAAGAAATGAGACATAAATGTTAATATAAGCATCACTCTACAGTTAAGTTTTAAGTGAATATAATATCAAAATTCCAAACTGCTATCATTACAATTAATATATTGTACATTAGTACTTTTAAGACTAGGAAATACTCTAAAATAATTTAATATTTACATAAACTTTTTACATGTTCTTTTTTTTAATACCAATATGTTGAGAATGGATCTGAATTACAAAGGGAATGCTTTATTTTAAGTATATCTTTACCCAACCCAAAGTTACAGAATTTTAGTTACCCCAAGTCCCCTTATCTTTCATGACAACACATAATATTCTAGAACGTATGTTATTTAATTTCATATTTTAAAAAAACTTAAAATAAAGTTTCACCCTTAGAAAAGAATTGAGTATTTATAAATTATGGTTTTTAATTAAGAACAATCTACTTATATTTTTAAAATAACCTTAAACCAGCATTAGAGTTAGAAAAATGAGTTATGTTGCAAAACTAACTAATCTTTTATAATTCTAGTATATGCAAACATTCTGAATACATTTTGCTAGTGTAAAGAAAGCTCTACCTTTAACATCTATCTCATTTGTTTTAACAATTCTTGAACTAAAAAAATATATATTCCATAGTCTCTAAAAAATTAGCTACATTTGAATTTAGCATTATGCCAATTCAGAGCATGGAAGATGTATTGTTTCATGACTTCTATTTCTGATATGTTAGCTACTGCAAATGTCAGTAGGAAAAACCTATGTAACGTAGATCAGTTCAAGTAGCCAAATGGTTTCATTTTACCTCGGCGAAGTTTACAAAGCAGTAAGATGTAGATCTGAAATCAAACGTATTAATTGGTGATGTGCACCCAATAGAAACAATACATCTCTAATTTTTAAAACAGGTTTAAAATAATTTGACAACTAAAAATTTAAAAACAAATTTCTTAACTTTACCCTCAAAAATTCCAAAACATTACACTTTAAAATTTTATTATGAGGGGAAAACCTGTACCAGAGAATTATTTAACTGAATAAAGCCAGGTTCATTCTCCACTTTACAAGTGGACTAGGATGTGGCTGATAATCTGTAAAACCTTACAAATCAACTTATTTAAAGAAAGGATGTCAATCACATATACAATCAGTAGCTGAAAAGAACACACTATTTCATCAAAATTAGGCATTAACAAAGCTTAAACAAGATAAGAATAATTTAGCTACAGCCATATTGTAATCACTATCTATTTTCCCTAAAGTGCCTTTTGACATATTTTAAGTTTTCTTTCCTTATAATACACCAGAATTCAAAATGTAGAAATGTAACTCCAAAGCTGTTCAATGAAAAATAATTAAAAGAAGAAATTACCAACTTCATTGAACTGTTGCAGTTGTCAAAATATTCCATAGATCCTAATGCTGTAAAATATGTAACAACATTTAAACCACAAAAACCTTTTTAACCTTTGAGAAAGCACAAAAAAAAAAAAAAAAAAAAAGAACAACTCTTTTGGAAAAGGATGTCAGCATTTGCATTGGGATGTTACATGTATAATTACCATTATACAATTAATCAATGTAAAATAGACAAGTTATACTGAACTTTCATTCTCTGACCTAAACTGTGCCCTACAGAACAAATACAATTTTCTTTATTTAGCTGTCATGTTTAATAAAAAGAAAAAAAAAACCTTCCAACTCTAGACTATGGTCACATGCTTGGTCTACTTTGTAGCTTACTAAATTAAAGCACAATTGAGTTTTGCTTCTATGCTGTTTTTAAAAAACTGGTATTTACCAATGTCAATCATTATATAACATTTTGGATAAGCTACTTGAAACGTCCTAGGCAGATTATATAAACAAGCAAAATAAAGTATCTCACTGATTTTTGTTGACCCAAGAAAGTTTTTCCCCAAAACTTCCCCATTTAAAAGTAAAAGCACTTGATTAATGTTTATTCTTAGTATCTACCCTGGAAATAGTATTATTTAAGTCAATAAAATATATTTGCCCCTATATCTCTTGGGAAGATTCTGTGCACCCCAGGGATATATGGGCTCTAATAATCATTACAAAATGCTGTTATTTTAATTTCTAAAAAAATAACTGTATAAAGTTTATTTGCAAAGATGTGAGGGAAAAAGCACACATACACATACAAAAGAGAGTAAACCCCCCAAAAGCAAAAATGTAAACTGTAAAAAAAATCCATCCTCATTATCTAGTAGTGGGGTACAGAGGGGTGGAAGAAGAGATGTTATGAATATCAGAACCCAGGAATGGGTACATGGGAGCTAGTTACACTATCATGTTTATTTTGTATATGTTTGAAATTTTTCATAAAAAGTTAAAGAAAAAAATGTTTGTTAATAATGTCCTATGTTAATTTACAACTGTTACTTTAGAATATTCTTTTCTTTTTGAAATAGTAATTGATTTTTAATTAGTTCATATATAAGTAGATTATTTTCTACTCTTCCTATTTAAAATTTTTACAGATGTATGAGTTGAGAAATCTTGCTGACAACAGAGGAGTAGATAGAAATAGAAAAGGTTTTGTTATAGCAATACCACTCAGTTCTTTACATATAAAAGTCACACAGTAATCAATCCATCCTTAAAAATTCTACTTAATGCTCTTACTAACAACTTGATTAGATCCTCTGTCCATTTTGTTGAAACCAAAGACCTAGAAACAACCTAGAATACAGAGGGCTGTTCCCACTCTTTACAATGATTCATACCCTCAATACCACTGACTCTAATATTTCAAAATGTTCTCTTTTGTTGGTGCCCAAGAGGCTTTTATAACCTGAAGCAGTGCACCATAGTAAAATTTGGGACGCATGAGAAGTATGCCTTCTTATGAAAACTGGGAGGAAATCTGGACCAAAGGCAGACTAATTTTAAGCAAGACATATATGAAAACTGAGATTTGCAAACTGATAGTCTTAAAACTATTAATGTCCCTTTGTCTCTAGGAAAAAAATTCCCATAACCAGGGATATGTTTATCCCAGTTTTAAGTCACTGTACAACCATTATTAGATATGTTATTTTCATTTTAGAAAAAGTTACAGTGATATTTAGTAAGTACAGTAGGAAAACTTAAAAAAATAAATTGGAGAAAATATATTTACCAAATCCATTCACCAATTTTTTTTTTTTTGGTGTGAAAAAGTGTTTTTATTAAGAGAAGGGGACAAGACCCATGGGCAGAATGAGCTGCACTGTGATTGTGAGGAGTGACTGATTATATACATTTAAGTTGTAGGGGGGTAGAGATAAAGGAAGTTTCTAAAGGGATTTTCATATGTTAAAGACTTACAGGATCCTGGAGATTAAATGACTTTTAAAAGCAAACCATGTTTTGTTTGAAAAGGGTAGTAATCAGATCGAGAGACTAGAAAAGTATACAAATTAATTTCTCTGTAAACATTCCTACACTAAGTTAAAGAATTTCCATTTCATTGAAGAAAATTTTATGAATGAAAATGTGATAAACAGGCACAGAGTTTTAAACATTGGCTATTAAAAGAATTAATATAACTATGTTGGAGTGTTTTTATAGCCTGTTTTTACAACATAATCCTGAACTCAATTATATATTATACATTAAAACACAGGTGAAAATATTACTGTTAACAGGGACATATGCTAATAAATTTAGTATAAAAATGATTCATTTGAAGTCCATGCATTAATCAGTTATTTTGTAAGTAAATCACTTGATTCCATTCATAAAGTATGGAGGTGTAAAAGCCAATTGAAAATTAGAGATCACAGAGGAAAGAGGCATAAAAGAGGCAAAAAGAAATAACTGAAAATGATTTTATAGAATACTCTTTAATCTTGCCACAGAAAACGCTTTAAAGCTAAATAATACTTGGAGGATTTAAAATAGATATTACAGGTAAAAAATAATGTTCTAAATCTAGTATTATCTAGATTAACCTAAATATAAAGAGAAAAATTCTGTTGGCAACAAATTATCTGCCTTTCATTAAAAAAAAAAAACCTCAAAGAACTCAGCTGATATAAACATGGAGTGAATAAAACAATTAACACGATAAAGTCACCAAATCCAAGACATCATCCAATGCTCCCCAGAGCCACAAATCACCTTAAAAGTGTGGCTCACAGGCACATTCAACAGGTTGCTGCTAACATAACCAAATTGAGCACTATATACATACTAACTAAATTCATCTTATTTTCATGGAGTATGACTGAATTGTCTTTTAAAAAGAAAAAATCTGATGTTTTAAATTTAAAAATACTTCTGATTTTTAAAAAAATCAGACTTCTTCAAATGACAAAAACTGGAAAATACTATTAGAATAAAGAGAGACAAAAACACAGAAGACAATGTAACTTACTCTTTACCTTTAAAATAAAAAAGCAGAAGAACATACTATGTTATCCTCATTTTCCCACCCTAACCCTCAAGTTATCCGAAGATCTTAACTTTTAAACTAAAACTAGGTGAAGTTTTTACCACTGCAAAGAAAAAAATTACATATGTAACTGCTATTTCATCCAGAGTTAACTGTGCTCCTTTCAAATTTATTTTTACTCTTCCTTTTAAATCAAGCAACCATATTATCATCATCAGATAAAACAAACTGCATCAAAAAGTATTCTTTTAAACTTAGTAGTTACCACAAAGAAAAAGAAAGGATATTAATTTTATAGTTTATTAAAATCATGTGCATTTTAAGTACAAAATGACATTTGTGGTTTTTTTTTAAGGTATTTACCTATATAAGCTTTGTTTAAAATTTTAAATATTGGAGTTTTCCTATAAGTTTAGTAGTTAAGAATTTATGCAACAGGTTCCTTCTGTCCAAATCCTCCTTTTTTCCACAATCTGCTAATCCTTTTGAATACTTGCTCTGCCTCGTTCCCCCATTTCCTGAGGATCATCTCCAATCCTACAAGGAAAAAATATCAATACTACAAAATTAAGAAATAAAGAGTCTTACTAAAGACTCTACTAATTTTTTTGGGGCAGGGTGAGAGAAGACTAACATGAGGAGAATGTTTTAATAGCACCAAATAAAGTTGAAGTTTGAAAGAAAAAATAGCCTTAAGGTCATCAACTAAAAGAGCTAAAAAACAAAATTTATATCTAGTAGCCATGGTAAAATATCCACGCTTTGGGTACTCAAATGCAAGCTCCTTGAGAAAAGGGTTATTAGTTCCTTACAGATAGCAGGTACTGACTAACGTCCAAAGAATGACCATATTACACCCACTAAAATTAGATGTGACTTTTAAGCCAATAAACTGTTATCTTTTGTACAAGTTAAAATTAAAAAAATAAAACTTCTGTTTTTTGGACAATATAACTATGCTAGGTAAGACAAAGATGTCATCAAGAGAAACAGCAAACACCTACATTAAATATGGCAGAATGAATTCTAATGAAGAGCAAACACATCAGATTTAGCTCAAGCCCGACTCTACTGCTGTCAGTCCCTGTCTAGTCTCAGTTTCTTCACCTCATCTATATAAAGTAAGAAGGCTGGACTTGAAGACCCTTCTGGCAATAGTTTTGTTACCTCAATTTCAATTACTAATTCATAAATATGTGATCATACAACCTTCACAGATAACATACAGATTTTTAGAGGAGTTCTGAGTTCTTTAAAAAAAAAGTCTAAAGAAGTATTACATTACATTACATACCCCTCCAAGACTTAGATGAACTTCATTAAAGAAAAAGAAAGAAATTTGTGAAACACTTCTAAAAACAAAACAAAAATGCCAAGAAAGTAACCTTAAATATGAACTATATCCCAAAGCCTCATTTTCAACTTTGCCAGTAAATTAAAAATGTTTATATATTTAAAATCACTGATCAAATTTATAAATACAAGATGACTCAGTTAAATTTTTGCACTGTTGGGCACTGAACCACACTTATGTTGTGTATACGTGTTTTTTTCACTGTTTCATATAATGTGACTTTTATGGCTCATGACTGAACATGAGAAATGAAACTGATGAAGTGATGGTGTGATATGACCAGACATGCATTTCTCACATGCAGCATTTCAGCGTAGTATATGAAACCCATGAATCATTAAACAAAAGATGTTTAAGTGCATGCAGTTAAGGAAGGCTTCTTTTTATCATTTACGTATGCCCTTTCCTGAAAATACTATTGGTGTGCTATGTTATTCTTTCTCCAATGTAAGAATTCTTCAACTTGGATTCACAGATCAGCTTTCAAAGGGTCTGTAAACTCCTTAAAGTTTTATAATCACCGTATGTGAACATTTTTCTGGGAAGACCCAAAAAAGCTTTGGAACCATTCTAGTGCTTTTCTCATCAAGCACTAATACATAGGTTATATTATCATAACTTTCCTTACCTCTAATTTGTTACTTGTTCAAATCTAAACAATTATTAAAGAGACTTTTCTCTCATCACAATGTTTACTGAATTTCACCGTCAGGACCCATTCATACTTGTGTCCACCTCACACTACAAGGTAAGCAAGCTACCTGAAGGAAGGACTGTGCCTAGCACAGATTTGTAATATAATTTTCTACAACAAATATTCTCTCACCTCAAACTGACAACTTTTACCTTATGTAGAACAGTCATGAATAGCTAGATGTTATAATGGGCAAATAAAAATTTCCACAGTCTATTAAAATTAGTTACATTAAAGAATAATACTTGGCTATAATACCTACCTCACTAGAGTTAAAAAGATTAAGTGGGCCAATGCTTACGAAGTATTTACGCTAAAATAACAACTAAACATACAGAATTCTTATCATAGTAGTCTTCTATTTTAAAGCCTTTTCTCATGAACATATAAAATTCATGAAAGAGGATTTCTAGTATACAAATTAGGTTAAGTTTTTATTAATTGGGCCAAAGGCATAATTTATATCCAAACATTCTTTGTGTAACCAGGGTATCCTGTCCTCACTAATGCATCTAAAAAGCCATGTAGTTATGTTTTTTTATGCTTGGAAAAGATAAGCACGGATTTACTGAAGAAAGTATATAAATGTTCCAAACATGAATGAGATTTATTTGAATATAAATGAAATTTATAATTAGAAATTACAAATCTAAACAGTATCACACATTCATATCATTTTCAAATACTTATTCCAAACAACATTAGAGCTTCCAATTATTAAGGCAAACCAGACACTAAAACAATCGAAATCAAAACATACAATGTAAAACAAAGCATAGGAAAAATAATAAAACTTAATAATTGGAATAAGTCTTACTTAGTTATGATAATAAGCAAAACAAATGAAAGAAGTTCAAATGAAAATTGTGAATGTAGCTCCTGAGAGTAGAAAGGACTTCAGAATGTTCAAGGGTAAATGTACTTTGTCTTAACACAAAGTACCAGAACATTTGTTCCTACATATGCTGATGACAGTTAACAGTAAAATGCTTTTAATTGTGTTTACATCTGTTCATTTTCAAAGAGCCAAAAGGAAAAGGAAGAAAAAAATATCAAAACTTTAGGAAGAAAAACCTCTGTGCCTATTGTTCAGCAGAGACTTCTTTTTGAATTTTTGCCAGATCTTCAGGTCAAGAGTGACTGAGTAACTCTTACAATGAGTCATCTGTTTTTAATTTCGTCCTTGAAATTACATTATTTATTTTTAAATAAGAATTTTAGCTTTATACCATAAGATTAATTTTTTTAACACCAAAACTTTTCATAGTTCTACATAATTAATCCAAGATTCATCTTTATGCCTTAGTTATTTTTAAAAACTTACTAGGTTAAAAGGAATTGTCAACATTTTACCTTTATTAATGAAGTCACAACAATTGCTCCAGCATTTACCATAGGATTGTGTGGCTTATCTATAAAATATAAAACGATAGCATTATTTCAAATACTTGATATCATTTTCTATGATGCATAGGTATTTCCCGTGAACATACATCTATTTTCTTTATGTAAGATATTGTTACAGTTCTTTTATGGCAGGGGGAAAAGAGGGTGAAAGAATGCATTTAGGTCATTTACTTATCAAACCAATAATATACTTCTATAGTAACTATATAGGGAAACAAAGATTCATGTATCAAAAGACAGTGAATAGTAGTATTAAAGTACATCGAAATTTCCTAACTACCATTTACTAGCTATTTGACCTTGGGCAAGTAACTGAACTTCACTATGCCTCAATTTTCCCACTGTATATTGGGAGTAATAAATAGCATCAACACCTCAGTGAGTCATAATTCTTGAATGAATTAAAACACATGAAATGCTTAAATGTACATGGCACACTATTAAAAAATAACCTTGAAAAAAGCACATCTAGTATGAAACCACTCTTGCTTTTTAAAGTGCTTTATTTTGGGGGCACCTGGGTGGCTCAGTTGGTTAAGTGTCTGCCTTTGGCTCAGGTCATGATCCCGGGGTCCTGGGATCAAGCCCTGCATCAGGCTCTCTGCTCAGTGGGGAGCCTGCTTCTCCGTCTCCCTCTGCCTACTGCTCTGCCTACTTGTGTTCTGTCAAATAAATAAAATCTTTTTTAAAAAGTGCTTTATTTTTGTTTTTATGAATATACACATACACATGTAGAAAAAGAAAAACACTATAAAGGGATATACCTATGATAAAAATATTACAGGGGATTTAAATTATATTCTGTATTCTTTCTATATTTCCTGACAATAAAGATTTAAAAAATTATTTATAATTTAAGGTCATCCAAAATCCTATCTCTTAATTCTTACAACAAATAGAATTTCAAATATCAACTGATTACACTGATATCTGTGAAATCATGGCTCCTGGCTAAGATAAAATACATTTACCATTGGCCTTCCAAATAAAGCCTTCATGAAAGATAATTTCATGTCTTTTTCTCCTAAAATGTCATGCCTCAGAATGTAATAGAGAGTTTTTTCCTGTAAAAACATATTTAAGAAGTGTCAAAAATGATGTATAACTCCAGGCTTGTCCTTATTATAAACTAAGCGATTTCTTAGCTTTTCAGTTTTGTTTGGAGGAGAGTTCATTGGCTTTTAGTATATTCATAGAGTTGTGCAACCATTACCACAATCCATTTTGGGATACTTCTGTCACCCCAAAAAGATACCCTGTACCCATTAGCGGTGAGTATCCATTTCTCTCCTACCCCTGGCAACTAGTAATCTACTTTCTGTCTCTATAGATTTGCCTGTTCTGGGGGTGCCTGGGTGGCTCAGTCAGTTAAGCATCCGACTCTTTCAGCTCAGGTCATGATCTCAGGGTCCTGAGATCCAGCCCTGCATGCTTAAGATTCTTTTCTCTCCTTCTACCCACCCTCCCCACATACTCTAAATGAGTGAATTATATGGCATGTGAAGTATCTCCCAATAACATTGTTAAATTTTTCTTTATTTTAAAAAATAAAGACAAAAAATTAGGTAATTGACAGTTTACCAGTTTCCCCTCAATATAAGATCAACAATGTGATTTAGTAGCTATGGTTTAAACACTACATTTTGGGTTACCCATAATGATGATTAGTTCCAAACTGTAAATACTCTGATATTATACTAAATTTTAACATTTGGAGTATAGTATCAGAGAATTTACAATCAAGAGTTCACCTATTCCAAATCTCACTAAGAGAAGTTTGCCTTCTCTGAGATCACACAAAATGAGGGCAATTACTGTCAAAGAAAAGTACAACATGGCAAAAGGGAGCTAACAAAAAATTTCCAATATTATTCACCTGAAAAAAATAAGATACAGACGGAAATCAAGCTGTGCTAAATTAGTTTATATTTGTGTTTGTGCAGATGTTTAGGAGTCTGTCCTTTTGTGGTTTTTTGACATCATGTTTAGGCTCTAGGGCCTTTACAAGGCAGCTAATGTGTGTATTCCAAATGGTACCACATAAATGTGTGCATTTAATATTTTCTAAATCATAAATATTCTGCAAATACATCAGCTGCATTCAAGAAGATCTTTCAAAGAACACTAAAGCATTTCACGGCATGACAGTGCAACTTTCAGATGTAAGCAACTGCTCTCTCTGCCTTTGGCTCAAAAGCCAACACCTCAGTGTTTGGAACTGCTCTCAAAACAAATAGAGAAGCACAAGAAAATACCATTCTTTTTTTTTTTAAGATTTATCTATTTTAGAGAAATAAAGAGGGCGCAGTGGGGAGGGGCAGAGGGACAAGCAGAGAGAGAATCTCAAGCAGACTCCCTGCTGAGCTTGGAGCCCCACGAGGGGCTCAATCCCAGGACCCTGAGATCATGACTTGAACTGCAATCAAGAGTTGGATGCTTAACCAACTGAGCCACACCCAGGCGCCCCAAGAAAATACCATTCTTATAACTTCATTAAAAAAATTAAATAAAACAATAATAAGTATAAGGCACATTTCATTTTTCATCCAGCACAAACAAAAAATGCAAAAGTATATTTCTCACAACCATTATTGCAACCACTAAATTCCTTCACTCCTTCTTTCTTTGATTCTATCTTAACTCATCACAAAATGAGAAAGATAGCATATGTAGGAAATACTGAAATACAGAAACCAATACATAGGTTGGTGTTTAGATTTAAAACCTCTATCACAGAAAACAAACAAAAAACCACCTCTATCAGGAGTGCCTGGGTGGCTCAGTTGGTTAAGCATCTGCCTTCAGCTCAGGTCATGATCTCAGGTCCTGGGATCAAGTCCTGCATGGGGCTCCCTACTCAGTGGGGAGTTTGCTTTTCCCTCTCCCTCTGCCCCTCCCCCTACTCATGCTCTCCCTCTCTCTCTCAATAAATAAAATCTTTAAAAATAAATAAATAAAATAAAACCTCTATCAGATCAAAAGTACTAACTACCTTTGTCCTCCCCCTTTGCTTTTGAATTCCTATTAAGCAGTAATACTTGTTAGCCAGCCAACTATTTAATACAAGATGTTTCTTTCAAATATTAAATGTTATGAAAAAGAAAAAGCAAAAATACTCATTATTTCAACCACAGCCACCATAAAAACTTGTTGTGTTGGAAGTTTTCAAATATATATAAAATACAAAAGTAGAAAGAATAAACACCCATGTAGCTATCTAAGTTAGCCTCAATAATTACTAACATGTAGTAATAATCACACCCAGCACTCCCAGCTATACTCACTTAATTATTTTACAGCAAATCCCAGACACTGTGAGATTTTACTACAAGATATTCTCCTATATGTGTTTAGAAAGTGAAAAGAAAATCTTACTCCCTGCCCCATCTTCTCCCTAGTCCATTTTCCAATGGTATGAGAGGCCTAAAAAAAAAAAATTTTTAAGTAGGTGATTAAACAAACTATGTCTGTGGGTTTAACAGAAACTCCATGAGAAATGAAAAAAAAGTATGAATGTTTTTAATTTTCTTCAAAAATATTAAAAAATAACTTCTTAGATTTATTTTTTTTAAGATTTTATTTATTTGTCAGAGAGAGAGAGAGCACAAGCAGGGGGAGCGGTAGGCAGGGAGCCTGATGCAGGGCTTGATCCCAGGACCCCGGGATCATGACCTGAGCCGAAGGCAGATGCTCAACCGACTGAGCCACCCAGGCGTTAGATTTAAATAGGAAAATGGGGTATTTCTTTTTCTAACTTTTATGTAATTCTTACCATCTTCATTTAAAAACAGTTTGTTGAATCTTAATCCACTTGGCTCTTTCCCAACATATCGATGCACATATTCTGTTCCAAGATCATTAACAGCAATGGCATATTTCAAAGGTTTTACACAGGACTGAAGACAAAATGGAACTTTGGTATCTCCAATAGAATGCCTATTTAAAAGTAGATTTAAAAAATAATTAAAATCAACTGGAAAAAAATGTTTGAATAATTGGGAGTTATTTTTACATGTTAATTCTAATTTACAAAGGTTTTCCCATAATTCAACCACAAGTTTACTTAGATATTAAAGAATAAATATAAATTTTAAGAAGAATACTGCAAATAAGGCAAAAGCTTAAAAGTATGCAGGTAATAATATGGTTCAGAATTAGGTAATAAATAAGTAATGTGAAAATTTTCCTCTGAGGCCAAGAGGGTATGGCCCTCCTTACTCCTACCTGTATTCAAGCATTAAAATGAACTAGCCCTTTTAGAAATCAGTCACCACTTTTTCACTCATAGGTTTAATCATGGCTATACCGTGGTGGTTAGTTTTTAAACAGAGCTCAGTTTGGGATTCAATACCATTCTCTGAGACCTTGACTATAAACGCCTCATCCTCTGAACCATATCTACTCACAATTCCAGCCCTGTTAAAATAAACAGCACCCAGTTTTATAAACTGTATTAGAGCTGGCATTAATGGCATCATTATTACCATGTATCTAAACAATAGAACAAAAAGAAAGCTTTATATGTTTCCAAACTGGGATGTACATGAACTACAAAATAGGTTTAAAAATGGAAAAACTGTGACTGACCCCATCATAATGTAAGCTTCACAAGGGCAGAGATTTTTATTTTATTCAACAGTATCCCAGGTGCCCTGAACTATGCCCCAACACAGAGCAGTCACTCATTCATTCAGAGTGAAACTCATTCATAGTGCAACTGGGTAATATTAACAACCACCCCTGGGCAAAACGGGGTTAGAGGAGACATCAAAGGGCAAGGAAACATCAGAGAGCCGACCACCTTACTTCCAACTATATTATGGACTATAATACATACATATAGATAGTAAAAATATATAATATTCTTCCTATCATGTTTATGAATAATTTCTAATTCAGACTATAACTTCAACTTGACAATGATTCTAAAACCTGACAAGAGCCTGTCTTATTACCTTTATTTAAAAATACATATGTTCTAATCCAAAGTCAACTTTTAAAATTCTCTAGATGAGACAACTAACCTAAAAGAATCATCACCACACACAGAGAATGTTTAAGAGAAAAATCATGTGCAAGCCTTGCATTATAATCATTTCCTCCAAATATAAAAATTTCCATTACATGATAAACCATTTCCTCCAAATACAAAAACAGAGCTATCACTCCATACTAGAATTTGGTCCGTAAGAATAAAGCCACGTCTTCTCATGTATTTGTATCCTTTTATAGCACCCAACATTTAATTCAACACACAATTAATGGTTAGTACATTTTACAGGCCCAGATGAGAACAAAAGCCTGTCATAATGGAGAGAACAACAAACTGGAAGTTAAGAGACCCAGGTATTTGTTTTACCTCTGCCAGTATTAGAGGAATTTTGGGCCTCAGATACCTTAAGAATGAATGGGCTAAACCATATGTCTTTTTACTGTAAATACTTGAGGAAGATTATTGGTAAAAAATAAAAAGATCACTTAGAAAGAAGATATTTAAGACTGAAAATTATGAGGCTAAATGACTTGTAGTTTTAACAAAATTTAGGATAAAATTAATCACTGGTATAAATTCATACTGTGTACAGTATGAATTTAAAGCTGTATACACTTAAGGAGTTGTACACCATACTTTATGTAAGTTACATTTTAATTTAAAAAGAAATACTTTAGTAAAAAACAAAGGAACACAAAGATTATAACTCTGAGCTAAGCCTTCAAATGAATTAAAAAAATTGATTTTTCTTTTTTGGCATAATTTTTCTGACTTGACAAAACCAAATTATAACATGATTAATAAATCTTTATATCTGGCTCACAGCATAATAAAAAGTCATTCTTGAAAAAATATTCCAGAACTTTATCAATTTTTCAAGGGCCTCACATAATTTATTGTTTTTAAAACCAAATCATTCTCTTTGAAGTGCCTTCACATCATTATCCTTTTTATAATTCTGCTAGAACGTCATTTGTCAATGGCTCTGCCTATAGCTTGAGCACTTCCCAAAGATCACTTTCATGGACTTATGAGATCCTGCAAGTTTGCAAATGACAGACGGAAAGACTATTATCATACTGTACTGTCTTAACTATCACACCGCTCATATCATGAGCATAAGCAACAATGACAGTGAGAGGCTGTTAATGTTAAACTAAGAAATGGGAACTAATTTGATTAGTGGTCAGTTCATTAGTGAATAATTTCATGTTTTGACAAGTCTGCTTCTCCTAAGAAAAACTGTAATTGCAGGTACTTGAAAAATAAATACTCAAATAACAAGACTACAACTGTGAATGACATGAAATGCCTCATGAAATTTAGTGTTAAGACTACTTCAGTTGAGTTTTTAAAAATTAAGTTAAAATCTAAACTTATTTTCCTTCTTGAATTCCTATCATGTTATGGCTAATTTCCATCACAGAAAATGCTCCTCTCTACCTCATGCTGTTACGTAAAATTGAAAGCTTATAGTTGGTTTTCATGAATATTAAATAAACTCACCTCTGTCCATCTACTGTACACACAGACACACCCCACAAATCAGGACTGAACTTGGCTAGCTGAGGAATATAATCTGCAACCTATACAAAATATTGGGAAAAAATTAACAGAATACAAGCAAATAATATTTCTTCTATCAAAAAATTTATCTTAATTTAGCTTCCACTAATGAAAAATTATTTTATAGCTCTCAATGGTTTTGTGGTCTTTTATAATATTCATAAAAACTAAGGGTAGAAGAGATTTGAGGATTACAGGTAAGATCTAACTGGCTTTTCTCAGTCTCCCTCATCCCGTATGTTTTCCAATGCATTCTCAATTCCTAGAAAAGCACAGTCTAAAAGAGGAACTAAGACTTGATTTTTACATTGGGGAGGGTACGTGCTATGGTGAGCACTGTGAACTGTGTAAGACTGTTGAATCACTGTGAAGACCTGTATCCCTGAAACAAATAATACATTGTATGTTAAAAAAAAAAAAGAAGAAGATAGTAGGAAGGGAGAAATGAAGGGGGGAAATCGGTGGGGGAGACGAACCATGAGAGACTATGGACTCTAAGAAACAAATTGAGGGTTCTAGAGGGGAGGGCGGTGAGGGGAAGGGTTAGCCTGGTGATGCGTATTAAAGAGGGCAAATATTGAATGGAGCACTGGGTGTTATATGCAAACAATGAATCATGGAACACTACATCAAAAACTAATGATGTAATGAATGGTGATTAACATAATATAATAAAATAAAAAAAAGGTAAAGAAATAGAACTTCTTTAATCAAAGTCATGGTAGCAGGGTTTCATTTCTAAAAACTTTCAATACAGAGAAAAAATAAAACAGCCCTTGTTATTTTATTTAGAGAATTTTTAAAATTTAATGTTCAAGGATATTACATTTACAGAAATTCTTAATAAAGTTACTGTTTTTTTAGTGAGTTAAAAGCCATTTCCATCATCTGAAAATCAAAAAGAATTCTTAAATTTAATATTTCTTTGTAGCCCAGGGCGCCTGGGTGGCTCAGTCGTTAAGCGTCTGCCTTCGGCTCAGGTCATGATCCCGGGGTCCTGGGATCGAGTCCCGCATCGGGCTCCCTGCTCGGCGGGAAGCCTGCTTCTCCCTCTCCCACTCCCCCTGCTTGTGTTCCTGTTCTCACTGTCTCTCTCTGTCTATAAATAAATAAAATCTTTAAAAATATATATATTTCTTTGTAGCCCAAATAACAAAATTGAATATTTAAAGTATTTTAAAAGCATTTAATCCAGTAGCTTCACTTAGCTTAAATTTCTTAACTAGCAAAGCACAAGAAAACTCCACAACTTGAATTTCTATACCTCAACTTGAGCTGAATTAAGTGATTGGTTTAGGAAAATATTCACATCAAAAATGTTACCTTTCCTCCAGACTGCTTTTTAGCACTTTCAAATAACTCATCAATGTGAGAGGTAAAAGACATAAAGTCAGGAATGACAAACTTTCTTCTAAAGGCTTGTGTCAACAAAACAATGTTGCTCTGAACACATCTGTGGAATGTGAAAAAAAAATTAATTTACTGGGTGCCTTTCAAATATTAGTACTTGGTAATAACAATATTAATTAGGAGAATATTTAAACAATAGAGAAATTCATCATTTTATACAATAAACTAGAATCTATAAATTATACTTTCTGTATTATTTTCTTTCCTTTGAGCAGTCTTTCATGCAGTTTCTTGTAAGCTGTTGAACAAGTTAAAGAAATAAATGAGATTGCCTAAAAATTGTGTCAAAGATAAAATAGCAGAGCATTCTAACAGGTTAAATATCAAGAGCATCTAAAGACAAGTTTCTTAAGCCCACCAAGGTTAAGAATATATGTCAGCATGACATTTGGTTAACAAAAATTGGATTTTAATATGTCATAGCTGAGATCCTGTTTATTGATCCATTAAGTAACTTCAGACATATCCCTTAGTTCCTATATAACTATTAGTAGTATTTCACAAAAAAACTAAACTTTATATTTTAACATATTTTTGCTAAATTACAGTTTGAAAAATCTGTATTTCCAAGCTAACAAACAGAAATAAAATCAACTTTATTTAGTCAGATTAGAATAAAATACTTATTAAAATGCTTGTAACAATAATGTATAGTTTTAAAAAAATTATTTAGAGTAATTAATTTACATTATATGAATCACCAAAAATATGAAATCATATTATTCTATTCACTATAAGATATGTAATACAGTACAGAATAAAAAGGTCTCATTGTTAAAAACTATTTAAAAAGATAATGGTAAATCATGTGGATGGGAGAGCATGAAATCTAACGATTTGAACCAATATTCTGCTTTGTTCTAAAAAGGACTTAGGCCAGAAAATCAATATATTAATGTAACCTTAAAGAAGAGCTTTTTAAATAGGTTACAGTGAACCATCTTCTATTCTAAGCTCATCTTCTTAAGAGTCTCAGTAACTCAGTAAGAGAAAGTCAAGCCACTAACTACGGAAAGTTATGTAACTGGATTCCTCACAGGTAAATGATGTGGTACTATATTACCTTCTTTGGGAAGAAAAAAAAAATCCAAATTAGCATTTTTTTTTAATAAAAAGTAAGTTTCAAATACTATTCATCTGTTCAACCATAAAAATTTTAAGATGATTTTGAGAAAGATGATTTCCTTACTTTATAGGTAAGGAACATTTTGAAAAAGATGATTTCCTTACTTTATAGGTAAGAAAACTGTACCTATAAGTAAATAACTTTCACTAACTATAGAGAAATGAAGAACTAAACACTCAGTATTTCTTTTTTAGTTTTTATATCTCAGCATTTTAATTAAAATTGATCTAAATGAAACATTGAATTAAAATTAAGTCAGATTTCACTTTTAACTATTAATTAAAAATTCAGAGAATATACTCATTTGGTCAGTATAAAATTAAAATATTGATTTAAAATAATACAGGTTATTTCCAATGATAAAGATGTGCCCCAATTACAACATGAAAAATTACAGTCCTAATTTCCATTATTAACCAACAGACATAGAAATAATTGACATCTCAGAGATAACATTTACTTCAATAAACTTTGATAAATTATTTTCTCATAGTTTCAATGTTAATCTAAAAATTATTAAGCATGCTACTGATTTAATATTTAACGTTTTAAATAGCAATTCAATTTGCACATATGAGAGTTGTAAAGAAATTATACTAAAGAAAACATTTCTCAGCAGGAAAAAGTTAAGACAATTCCTGATCTTAAATCACTGTATCTGTATCAAAACTAAATCCTAATTTTTCAAAAAGTTATACATGAAAAAATATGAGGACTGCCAAACTTAAATATTAACCTACTATTTAACTATTTAAAATTAATCAGCACTTTTAAAAGGAAGCTTTATAATTAACAAACTGTACAGTCAGTGAAACTGGTTTGTTGTTTTCTCCTCTACTAGAAGGTGCTGGTAAAGTTGTGGTAACTGACTTCACTGGTGAATTACTGTGGCCAACACAAGCAATCTTACCACTCAAAAAAGTGTCTACTGCAAACTGTTGAAAATTACAGGTAGTAAATGTTTTCATTGGGAGTTATTTGAATACAGATGTCATGAAAGGAACTAGAAAATTAGAAGTCCTATATAAAAATGAATTCTGAGAAGGAAGGGTTCATACTTTTCAGCAAGTCATATCTTTCTCATGCTTTGTTTAGTTTCTTCATCTGTAAACCGGGAAAAATAATCTTTCTTCTTAAATATTTATGATTAACAACTATAATGCACATGCTTTAGAAAGTATCTCACAATTTTTTATCAGTGAGATAATATAATGGATATGAATTAAAAAAAATCAATATACAAATGCAAAGACTACCATTCATTTCCCTCCAAAACAGAGAAGACCAAAAAATTATGATCACACATAAGAATAGCTCTAATATCTGTATGGTTAAAAATGCATAAATAAGGCATTCATTTTCAACATAATTTTCTACTTCTATCAGTTAAAGGATTATTAGCATTAAAAACAATTAATTATCTAGATGGGTACAGGCAGTCTCCAACTTTCAAATAGATTATGCTCCAAAGAGTATGCTTAGAACACACTTTCCCTTAAAAAACAAATCATATGTAATAGTTGTTTCTCAGATTACCCTCAAAGGCTAAATATACTAACCAACAATGTTTTTTAGGTAAAATCAACACACTGACTTCAACCAAACCCATCCACCTTTATAAATTATTTCTCTGAGAAAATGGAATTCCACTGTAACATCTCCTTCCCACCTGCATGGAGAGGAAATAATTTATTTAAGGCAACACTAAACTAGAAAACTTCTTATTTGGAAAAAATTCTCTGGAGCAATCACCTTTCTAGGTGACCCCAAAAGGCTAATAGTCAAAGGTTCTGAATTACTTCATTCTAGAGATGAAAAGAGAAATCATTATGCATATAGATGGAGACTTTTCCATTGCCTACTCATACAAAACACTAAGCATTTGTCAAGTTGGGAACTGCCTATATTACAATCATCAATTTTTTTAAAAAATTGGATTAGTGTTTAAAATATGGTAATTGCTATTATTTTATATAATTATAGGCAGAAAATTGTATGATTATGTTTCCTGGCTTCATAATCAGTATATTTAAGTTACTTTTAATTTCATATTTAAACACAGCAACATGTTTATAAAGCACAAAAAAATTTTAAACAGACTAAAAAGGTATAAAATACTTTCATTTAAAATTCCGAAGCAATTCCTCATACCTATTATCAACACATCTACCTACCATCTCTTTGACAACTTCATTCTCAGATACATCAAAATAACTCTTCAGAAGGCACCATAATCAAGAGTACTTTGCTCCGACAGTTCATGAATACTAAAAATAATCCTTATTGCAAAGGCACAGCTAACAAGAAATTTATTTCCTCCCCTCCACAAAGAAACATATTTTGTGAATTCAAAATTCCTAACACCAATTCTAACATCTGAGTTAACAGAATCAAGAACCTTGTGGTAAAAAGACAAGAATCTAAAACTGTCAGCAGTGCTTCACAGCATGCCAGGAAACTCTGAAGGACCTCAGTTACACACACCTTCAAATGACTTAATACTCTAGGATATTCCCAGGAGTTACCCAGGACAAATCATCCAGTCCCCAAAAGAAAATAAAAGAAAAAATAAATAAAAATACATACATACATAAAAATAAATTTTCAAGGGAGATGCTAGAATTCTTTGAATCTATCTCAACTTACCCTATGGTCTAGAAAAAGCCAATGTCTTACAGTAGTGTTTACAGTTTTATACTGGTTTTTACCTAACTCTTAGTAGTTTAAAATACCATTTACCTCTTTGGGATCCATTATAAACATGCTATCTTTTAAACCATTAAGAAATCAGACAAGTAGGAACACATTAATGAAGATAAATACTAAACAAATAGGCAAATATAGGAAAATCAAAATAAGTATGCTCATTCAACCAAATCAAGGCATTAATCTCTAAAGTGTCTTCAGTTTTTAAATATTCTGAGGGAAATAGAAGTAGTCAAAAGCCTATGTATTAATATGTCTGAAGAGAGAAGCAGACAATGGAGATATGTAAATCTAAGGAATACATGCTTTCTGAAGCCTTCTCATTTTATGATGCCATCTAAATCACCTTGTAGTAAAGAAACAGAGACCATATGGAAAAACCCTGTAAGACATGCAGATGAATTGGAGATCAATTTAAGCTGTGACAAGACAGAGTGTGCTCTATTCAAACACATTGCAATTTCAAGATACGTAAATTGGAAACATCCATGCCTACATTTCCTTAGAGCAGTTTCAAAGAAAGTCTACTCTTAGCCCCTGTGTGTTATAGAACTTTATGTGCACCACGTTCTTCAAACAATTGATGTTTATAAATTCCCCCTTTTTTTTCAGTTACACAGAAAGCACTGGCCTTCAAAGATGCAATTTTGTTTTAAAAGAAAAATCACCATATAGCATAGCAAATCACCATTAAAGGTTTGGCAGAAATTTTTACTTTTTAAAAAGATCTTTGTCTAGCATGACACCATCTGATGTTGTTTGAAGAGTTAATCTTAACATATCCATACACTCTTTCAACCTGGGATCAGACGTTCGCAATCCTGTAGATTTGAGTGCCTGTTTTTAAAAAAATAAGAGTTTGTAAATACATAATGCAAATAATGTATATGCTTATTCCAACTACAAGTTTTTATTCCTGTATATAAAAACTTCTACCCAGGACCTGAATACGTATATGGGCATTTTAGTATCACTATTACCCACTTTCTGGACAAGTTTCTCATTGTTTCTTTCATTTTCTTTCACTGATTACCTTGAAATGAGCATGATGAAAATTTGAAAACATAATAAGAGAAACAGCGTCAGATGACCTTTAAGACTACATTTCAATATTACTGTATTATTGATTCAGGATTACTGATTTTTAAAAAGTTTAAGATAGAAAAATATAAAAACGTACTGTAATAAATTTATGAACAGGTATTTTCTCTTGTCCTTCTGCAATTGTATAGAACAGCAAATCTTCCAAGCTGGGTAACAGACCCTGTTTTATTTTACTAAAGGGGAAAAAAGAAAACAAAATTAATCCTTGTGAAACATTCTAATGGATTTTAGGTATATCCATTACTAAATAATCATTGAATCAGACTACAGCTGAGCTGATCTACTCATCAAGATTACGGTCATGATAAATGCTAATTTACCAAAATCAAACCAGTTATAACTAAAATCACACCGAAAAAGTAGAAAATGACTTATTAATGAATATATTTTTTTAATCCCAGGTTTTAAAATCTTGATTACCATTTCTAGTGGTACTAATACCTAGTCATCTATTATGGTGATACCCTCTTCTACAGCCTAATACAACACCCAATACTAATTAAAGAGCTCAGCAAATGTTCAGGTAAGAGTCAATACTTTGTTTTTTGTGTTTTTTTAATATGATGACTATATTTATATATTATTAAAATAGTTAACCTGATTGTAAAATCTGGGGGAGACAGCAATTACATACCAGACAATAAAGATTAGTATACCAGTTTTGAATCCTAGCTATAATACTTACTAGCTGAGTCACCTTGGATAAGCTAAAGAACCTTTCCATGGTTCAGCTTCCTCATCTGAGAGGAAATAATAGTGCCTACCTCACTGGGCTGTTTGTTGTGAGGATCAGTTGACTGGAAACCTTCAATACATTTAGAATGATGACTGGCAGAGAGTTAAGTACTCAATTGATGGTAATTGCAGTTAATATTTCTAATGTGCTCTAGGCTTACATATATAGACCAAATGCCACAAATCACAAAGAAGACTGTTAGAATAAAATTTTTACCATAAGAAAAACATTAAAATCTTAATTAACTAATTAACTAGTATAAGATGCTATAATTAACCAAACATTTAAACAAAAAAGGAATTTTTTCCTATCCTATCCACTGAAAAGTTTTCAAGTAAATAAACTATAATGAACTTATTATGTCTTTTATTTTTCGCTCTGAAACTATAACACATTTCAATATTCTGAACATCAATGACTATATTAGAGTGATGTTACAAGAATTACAGATCCAAGGTAAAACAGATCTCCCCACCTATTAAAACGGGAGGGAGAAGTACATACATGTGTGTGGGGGGTGTATAAAATATTCTGGAAAAGACTTTATCTGTATTTCAAGAAAGAGAGAAAAGTAAAGAAAAAGGAAGGATGGAATACTCATTTTCTTAATTTTAGAACTTAATCCAAAACAATTCTGGACTAGCCATAGTATAATGGCAAGTTTCATGGGAAAACTGTATACATTACTTTTGTAAAATAAACTGTCACAGAACTCAAGTCTGTTTAAAATTGTTTGTATACTGTTAAAAAGAGCTTTCTAGGTATCTAAATATTTCCTGGATTACCCAAAGATTACTTAATAGTTCCATACTTCAGTAAGACCATATGTACTTAATTATTTCCTAATATAATTACTTCCCTATTATTAGTGGCCCATATATTTCTATCTTAAAAGACAACAGAATACAGAGTTGGTTCACAGAACATGGACAGTTATACATGCACATATAAAATTTCTCCTAAAAAAAACATTAATGTTGGTATTAATATCATTTAAACTTGCTTTCAAAGCTGTTACACCAACTTTTAGATTTTAAAGTCAACCTTAAAATGTATCAATTTCATGCCAAAGTTTTTAAAAACTAACAAATAGGATTACCATAATTTAATGACATATCCTGGAAATATGAATTTCTATATATATATAATGAAACAGGAGTTCAGATAGGTCAAGAAGCTTCCCAAAACTGCACAGTGGCAAAAATGTATTTAGAACCCATTTCTCCAAATCCAGAGCCTAAATTATTCACCACTACAGTATACTGGCTCTCAAACTTACTAGCTAGTTATTATTTTCATAAGGTATAATTTTTCTAGGTCTTACCCTGATCCAAACCATTAACAGCATTCAACAATACCAAAGACTTAATATTTAAAGAAAAATTGAACTAGCCATCAAAACAGCAGTGGAAAATAACAGACCAATTATTTACAGAAAATGGTTTGTCAAATAAACTTCAGATAGTGGCAGTTTGTCACTAAAAAACTGCAGAATAAGCTTTCTATATATTTACCACACCAGTAAATGGTATTTGCTTTGCCTAAAAGCTAAGTAAATAACATAAAATATACACTTCTTTAGCTTATGGTACAGAGCACAAAAATTTAAATGACCATGTTATCGTCAAAGCTAGCAAAAAAAAAAGGTAAATATTTACTTGCTTTTGGATGAGACTAATTTTTATCCATAGAAGAGAGATTTAAGTCATCTCTAAAAAATGTGCTCACAAAATAAATAAGTCAAAATTGATAAAAAGAATGTACTACCTATCTCAGCATTTAAAAGCTCAGACTCTGATCTGAGAATGAGTTAGCTTCAACTCTCTGGTAAACAAATAAATGACAAGATTCTCCCCAAACTTTCAAGAGGAAGAAATTACTCCAAAGATCTTTCTTGATATTACCCACTTTTCTCTCTCCAAATTTAATACGGCTTTGTGGCAACACTTCACAGTAATGTATTTTGCTATTAAAATTCAAAAGGTAAAAACTATAGTTTTAAGCATATAGTAACTAAAAAATCCTTCAGGAGTATTTAAGTTTTAATGACAAAAAAAATAGATTATAGGAGACTCTCAAATCATTACATTAGCAACTACTGATAAACCTGAGTGAGCCATCCAGATTCCCTAGGGAAAAATATAAAATGGTTATGACATTCAGCAACTAAAATAAGATATACAGGGGCGCCTAGGTGGCTCAGTCATTAAGCATCTGCCTTCGGCTCAGGTCATGATCCCAGGGTCCTGGGATGGAGCCCCACATCGGACTTCCTGCTTGGCGGGAAGCCTGCTTCTCCCTCTCCCACTCCCCCTGCTTGTGTTCCCTCTCTCGCTGTGTCTCTCCGTCAAATAAATAAAATCTTTAAAAAATTAAAGTAAGATATACATAGAAGATCAGTATATCCAAAGAAAAAATCCTTGTTACATACCTTTCTATTCCTTCCCTTTTATTACCCCTCACTTCCTTTCTAATCTCTGCCCTTAAGAGCCTTTTACCATCATTTTGTGCCTTCATTTATCCATTCCTTCCTCTACTTTACCCTTACAAAATACTTGCTTAGAACACAAAAATCATTCTTTAATGAAAAAAAAAAAAAAACCATGTATTTAACTGGCATCTATGACATGTACAGCTTTATGTTAGTTGTTGCTTACAGTCTAAATTGAAAATAGAAGACACACATAATGAGGAATTACAAGAATGAGACTATGGGATCCACTCTGAAAAATTACTTCACTGTGGACTAATAAGGTAAAGTTTTTTTAGAAGACACAGAATTTCAGCTGGACTTGAAAGATGGGGTAGGAGTTGAAAACACGGCAACAGAAAGGGATTTTCCAGCAAAGAAAACAGAACGACCAAAGCAATGAAGGTACGCATTCACTGGGTGTTTACAAAGAACAAGGAATGAATCAGGTGCCTGTTTCTACCTATGAGCTGTGAAAATACCTAATTTTCAGGGTTGAGAGAGATCTATATAAATTAAACAATAAATGAGGAGACTACCTCCCCAAAATTTACACGTGGAGTTTAAATTCAGGGCCAATACCTGCAACATGCAAAGAGGTACTGTCTGTTTACTGATCAATCAAATCAGTTACCCAATACCAAAGGACAATTTCAGCTTCTCAGTTTGGTATTCAGTTCTCTATATTTGGCTTTGTACTATCTATTCTTAAACTTTTAATTAATTAGACTCACCAACCTGTAAATAAATCCTGCTATTGCGCCTTTAATTTTTTATCTATATAAGCCTTCTGTTTATGACCTTCCTTTCCCTAACCCTTTAAGGCATCAATGATCATTTCAATTGTTTTAGAGGGCTTTCCCCAACGAGATTTTCTATACTCTTTTTAGCCTGCACTGGGTTGCATCACTAAATTTTGTACATCTCTTATACAGCCTATTATGTGCTAAGCACTGGAAATGTAAAGATGAATAAAGTAAGGATGCTATCTAGGAGAGCCAAGACTACAGCAACGTGGCAAGTACTATGACAGAAGTGTAAGAAAAGTATTAGGAAGTACAAAGTAAGCATTCAATTTTGCCTTGATGGGTGGGGGAAATCAGGTAAGTATAATTTGTAATTAGGAGCACTACTGCAAACTCTCCCTCATCAGTTCAAAATTTTATTTATTAAAAAACTCTAGTATCAAATGAAAGGAGGAAAATGAAAAGCAAGCCTTTACTAAGAACTGCAAAATGAGAAGAAAAAAATTGATATCAACTATATTGTCCTATCTTTGTTAAATAAGATTTCATATTACCTGACTTCTCTAAACTATAAACCTTCAAGACTGGTGTATTACCTTCCTTAATTTTTTTTTCTTTTTTTTGCAGGGGGCAACTCCATGTAACTCGAATGCATAGTATAGTACAGTAAACCTATCAGATAATCAGAAACTTTTTTCCCCAACTAGGTTTAAAAAAAAAAAAGTCCACTAACAGAATACAAAAGAAAGCTTTGGTATTTTTACTTACGTTGTCATTTTAAAACAATGATCTTTTAAAAACAAAAATGGAGTTGTTTTTAAATCAGTTTATCATTTTGAATTTAAAGTAATCTGATTGATAGTAATAGTTGTCCACCAACACCAGCAAATTAGCAGATTAAACCAGCTGAGACTCACAGATACGGAGAACAGTAGTGGTTCCCAGAGGGGAAAGGGGTTGGGCAGTGGGGACCAAATTGGGTGAAAGGGATCAAGAGGTACAAACTTATTTATTTTATAAAATAAGCTATGAGGATGTAACTTACAGCATGGGGAACACCATCAATAATATTGCGTCAACTTTGTATGGTGACAGATGGTAACTAGACTGATTGTGATTAGTTCCCAATTCATACAAATGTGGAATCTCTATATTGTACACATGGAACCCATATAATATGGTATGTCAATTATACTTCCATAAAAATTAATTAATTAAATA